CATTACATTACATTACATTACAAACAAATAACAATACATAACAATACATAATATTACATTACATTACATTACATACATAACAATACATAACAATACATAACATAACATACATTACATTACACTACATTACATTACATTACATGACATTACATTACATACATTACATTACATTACATTACATTACATTACATTCATACATACAACATTACATACATACAGCCATACATGCATACATCCATCCATACATACAATTACATTACATTACATGACATTACATTACATTACATCACACACATACATACATAATACATACATCACATACATTACATACATTTCATACCTTACATACGTTACATACCTTACCTACCTTACCTACCTTACATTCCTTACATACCTTCCATACATTCCATACATTACATACATTGCATACAATACAATACAATACAATACAATACATACATACATACATATAACGTCGTATCATATAAGCCACACTATGCTGCCGTAGTGATCAAACAGCTGCATATTGGTCCTGGTGGCCTCTGCCCGATGATGACCGCCATTCTTGAACTGCTGATAGAGTTGCTCCACCTGGGGATGCACTGCAGCAAATACTATCTTCAGCAATATGTTTATCTTGCAGAAGTGGAGAAGAAAGTGCACTCACATCAGCCGCTAGTACGACTGCGTCTCTTTTCCAAGCACCCTTGATCCGAGCTGCCTCTGCCTGGCAATCCTCATCAAAAGGTTTGAAGCCAGAACCTGCCTGATCAACGGAAACCCTCGATCAGAGTGTTCAAAGCAAATTTGTCAAGCACAGCCGCTGAGGATCGAAGCACTCAGCTGTCCCCCTTGTCAACCCTTGATTTTCATCTTACCAAAGCCACCCCAGGTGGTGCCCGCACCTCGAACTCCCAACGGCCCGTCGCAGGAAGGACTCCCTGCAAACACCCACGGGCCGGCGGTCAAAGGGATTCAAAGGGTTGATACTCTTGGCTCGTTCTCAGGGTAATCAGTCATTTTTAGTGCACGGAAAGAATCAGCTTCATGAATGGTCTCACAAGATTGGTTCGATTTTTCGGGAAGCTTAAGCGTCCTCTTGTTAATAGCGTCCTTGTTACTACTAGTAAGGCACTTGTTACTACTAGCGTGGCACTTGTTACTATGAATGTTCACTCTCACAATGTCACATGTTCCACTTCCGCCTCTGACACTCCGATGATCTCAGGCACAACCCTGCCCTGGCAATGCTTGTCGTCGATTATGGCATGAGACAAATCCACCCAATCATGCCATATTCCTGGCCACCTACCAAACCGAAATAATAGCTGGGCTAAGCGGCATCTGTAGCTTTCCCAGTGGCATAGCCTGATCAGGAAGAGAAAAGATACAGTCTGCCACACTACAAGTCGCATGTTGGGCCACATTGCATTGCATCAAAAATCCTCATATATACTCCATGATACTCCATGTATTTCATGCAAACTCTGATCTCTGATCCTTTGATCTTTCCATCCGAAACATGCCGTGGCTCAGAGCTCCAGGATGCCCCGCTCTTGCCACTCCTGCCGCTCGCACTGGACGCCTCGGACGAGTCTAGTCCGAGGTCGCTCAACAAGCGAATACAAGCCATGTCTATTCAAATTCGAACGCTTGCACAATCCTACCAATACCATCCACCACCTCTTCAAGTGCGCAAGCGTCTAGGCCCTCTAGGCATCTGGCACCTGACCGTCCTCCACGGAGTCCCTTAGGGATCGACACAGTGGGCAACCCATGGCTTCTGAGAAAAACGTTACCGATGCTGAACACGCTGAAAATGGTGGGGCTCATGGCTAAGTCCCGGACATGTGGTACAGTATCTCTACCTTGGCCCATTCTTAGAGACGACACAAGCTTGTAAAATATTGCTACGAATAGAAAATAACAGCCATACAGTACCTGCCCATGCCTACAAAACACGCTGTGAGTCAAAAACCGTCCATACCATTCCACACCTAAAGTAGTCCGTGCGTGAGTATCCTCATGTTTCCGCATTTCTCTTCACTGGGATTGTCACTATCTTCCCTTCGTCGGCGCGAGCGCGACGGTTTCGATCTCAAATGCAAGAGCTCCCCCATGATGACACCAATCTGCGCAACCATGGGCATCCATGAATGAAAGCCCATCACTTGACTCATGACTCACACACAAACTGTCCGTACAATGTTAATGAAACTTTCCTGCAAGAAATCTCAGCGTGAGAAATTTGAAACAAGCCAGGAAAAAATTGGTCGTGCAAGGGCAAGGGTCAAGCCAGTCAAGCCTGAACATCACGCGTCTCTGGTGTTAAGTGCTCTGGATTTATGTCCTGGAGAGTTGGTTGGCCGTGCCGACATCCAGACTGAAACAGTGTTTAAATTGGCAGCATTCTACGTTGTGAAGGCCAGGATGTGGTTCAGGTTAGGGGCAAAGCGGGAAACGGAAGGCATGAAAAGTCCTCGGGAAGGTCCATATAGAGAAAGTGTGTCTTGTGGTACTTCCGCTCCTGGCGAGCAACGAGGCAGCTTTCCGAAAGAAAGCTGGCTAGGTCCAGCATTTGTGGGGCACAGTCTCTTTTGCAACAACATGCAGAAACTCAACCATGCTTCACAAACTGCCTTTGCTTGGTGGCAGGCAGATAGAGAATCACACATTGGCCGCCTCTCACTCCTTTTCCAACTATTTACAAGCACAGTACTGCGTTGATACGGTCAACTGCCAAGGCATGAAAATCTAGCAGACAAAGATTCAAGCCCGACATTTGGCCAGAGCTGAAGACGGTACTCCATTGAGACGCCCCTTAGGGGTTGTCGTCACCCCCATCCCCTGAAAGCAAGGAGTCAATTGCTGCATCTACCCGGCCCTCATGCTGCGCCAAAGCTCTAAGACAGGCAGCCTCATTGTTGAAGCCCATGGCTGAAAGCTGCGCCAATTGTGATGCAAATCTCACCTGGGGAATCGGAGTCTACTGTAATCACTGACGTTAGCACGGGGAAAGTGCGCAAAAGAACACTACTCAAAAGTGAATGTGGAAACTGCTATGCAAGTCAGCTGCTCTCTGCAAATCTGGGCTTGGTGTGGCCGCTGGAGCTTGACCAGCAAGGCCTCCACCGCCCATCGCTGCATTCATGGCGTTCATCATCGCTGTCATGTTCGGCATCCCAAAGCCAGGCATGTTTCCATAGCCGGATGGATTCGGATGTAGTGGGAAGGAGCCCAGGGTAGGAGGCGAAGTACCCGCACCACCCATGCCACCCATCCCACCCATGCCACCCATGCCACCCATTCCGCCCATTCCGCCCATTCCGCCCATTCCGCCCATTCCTCCCATTCCTCCCATTCCTCCCAACGCGCCAAGGAATGGGTTCGCACCCATCATTCCCATAGGATTCGTCATGGGTACACCTCCCGCACCGATGCCTGGGCTGGAGGTGCTGGGGCTGGGAGTGGGGGCCAAAGGCTGCGTCAAGGGCGGCATTTCCCGGCCAAGATTGGGGCCTTGTCCTGGGAAGGCAGGAAAAGGATTGGTTGGCTCGTTCGCGCTTGGGGGTGGACCCCATGGATTGGGTAGGGCTTCACTGTTTGGTGCTGAGGACGTGTCTTGGGAATAGTCCACCACGGTAGTGCTGGGATTGGAACTGCCACCAGCCATGGCCTCAAAAAGTGGATCTGCAAACTCCTCATGAGCTCGCACGAGGGCATTGTGCCCTCCAGGCATGGCATCCAACTGGCCAAGGGCTCTATCAGCATTTCTGGTCATCTCTCTCATGAGAGAAGGGTTAGCTACCATCCTCAAGGATTGCTGGAGCAGCTCAGGATCTTCTAGCATCCTCGCAATCTCGGGCCGCTGTTCCATAAGCTCGTTGAGCTGCGGATTCATACGGACCATCGCTCTCAACATCTCTGGATTACTCATCATCTGCTGGACCATTGGCGAATTCATGAGCTGTTGCATCATCTCTGGATTATTCATCATCTGCTGTTGGGTCTGCGCCATCATCTGGGAAAATGGATCACCCGAAGTTGGGGGTGGAGCCCCCATCATCTGTGACATCGGGTTTGCTGGCGCAAGAGTTTGATCGGTTGCAGGTGCATCCCTCTGTGGGTTGTTTAGGCAATGCACGACCACCCCATCTTGCGGCTCGTAGGAGCCTATGGTGTGGGCATCCTGCCAAATCCGACCAGCACATACCTGAAGCAAACATTTGATGTAGGGTGTGAAGAATGGCCTATGTTTAGTCTATGTATGTGTGGCGTCTAGTGCCACGCATCAGTCATGAAAATTGATTTCTCAAAAAATTGTGCAGTCAGGACACCAAACGAATATTCTTCGCAGGGATGTTCACTTTTTGTGCGACCTTCTCTTTAAGCTCTTCCACTGTGGCTGCTGTGTCAATGCTGAGGAGAAACTCAGCTGTTTCGCCACCTGGTGCTTGAATTGGTTTGATCTTCAAGTTCACGGACGACATGAGCTCTAGCCGCTCTCACCGATCGCACCTAACTCCGAATTGACAACTGAATTGAGCCTCTTTGATAGGCTTGAGCACATTCCAATACATCACAGGCATCACAACTTTGCCAATCATGTGACTCACTACCCGTTGCAAAAAGTAACTGACAAGATTGGGTGCTTCGTGCTAACCGACTTCTGTGTAGGTAGCTAAGCAGGTGCTTTTGTTTCTGTTAACTTCACTTGCACTCGCACAGCTGCAGCACCGCCTTGGGCCACAAGTGCTGAGCCTCCCAAAGACTGCAGGGGGCCCCCCCGGGACAAAGGCGTCTTTTTGGTGGGTCGTATATGCTCATACATGCTCAAAGGTGTGGAAGCCAGCTGATGGAAAGACTTGCAACATATGTGCGAGCCAGAGAACCAGCAAACCGGTAGGAAAGGCAGTTGCCGCATTATGCTTGGTCCGCTGACGAAGTCCATTCAACAACATGTGGGCCTGCCTGGTAGTAGTCTTGGGTGGTCTCATCAACCACTGAACCGCGCCTGCCACTGATTTCGCTAAACCCACCACCCGTGAGCGACACTACATGAGCTCTTGGCAAATGCGGAGCTTCTTAGGAAGTCCAGACTGCTAGACTATCCAAACAAATCCCAGGTTCATCCTCCATGTGTGACGACTCATTGACCGTGCTGAAATCAAGTGACTACAAGCATGCACCACACAGCAACCGTCAATGCTTGCGAAGATTCAGAAGTATATAATGCAAGTCACACGTGCGGTATTGCATAGCAGCATAGCATGTTGATGCATTTTGCATGCTGCTGGCCTGTGGCTTTCGCTTTGAAGCCAGCTGGGCATGGCCTCGGAACGTACATTGAAATTGGGTTGGCAACAATGCAACTTCCTCCCCACCAGGAAAACAAGCCAACGCGCAAACCAACAAACCAACCATCAAACAAACAAACAAACAAAGAACCAACAAACATGTAACATATTAATATATATATATACATATATATACACTATATAGAGAGAGAGCTACATCCGATGTTGGAGGCTGTCACAGACTACCTCCTCCGCGGTCATTGATACCATCTTACGAGGTTACTACACACACTGAAGTAAACTCCTACGTCGGTCCTACGATCTAGAAGCTGCGTCCTTGTTGGCCTGCTTTCTTACAAACTCAATTCAGAGCACAACAACTACACCTGAAAGCCTTTGGAGATCCTACTGAACTGGTTTAGGTGACGCATAAAGAAAAAATAATAACACCATACCCCAAGCGCACGGCCCAACGAAAGCAGACCGCCAGGTGTCTGGTAGGCACCTTGGACACAAAGAAGCACTCTGAATTCTGAATGGTTCTGAATGGTTCGTTCTTTTCTCTCAGTATGCCGATTCACAGCGTGTCACCCTTGTTTCAGTACTTGTCCAACATCAAGTGACAGCCGTTGGATAGACCGGTCGGGGAATGGTTGGACGGTAACTATGCCTGCCTTACTTGTCATTCAATCATATTGGCACTTCTTGCGAAGCCAGGGACGAGCATGAATGCAATGCCAGGCAAGAGTGACCCAGCCACAGCCTCAGCGAGTCCATCGCTAAATCATGAGACATATACCATCATATACCCAGATATCACCCGTGTACACCCCATGCTGCCAAGAATCAAAAACATGCAGCATTGACTGTTTTGAGATGGTGGGATTGCGCTGCTTGCAGCTTGCAGCTTTCGCATCCAAAGGTGTACCAATCATGCAAAAATAGCCGCACATTATTATCATCCCTGACCCATTATCTACATGGCCGACCAGCAGGCTCAGCTCTTTGCAATATTGATTGGTCCTTGCTGCCCATAGCACGGCCGCAAGAAAATTATCTCGGCAGGGGCAGGAAGGCATGCAGTCGAAAACTCTTCAAGACCTTGCTTGCACCTGATTGGCTTCGCAAGCTGCTTCAAACTTTAGCTACTCAGAACTCGACTGTTGCGGCAGTCTGCGCTTTTTTGGGCCCAAAGACCAAAATCTCGGCCACCGGCCATCATAATTGGCAGTAGCCATGGCAACACGTAGCGCCTTCCAGTGCTGTTGCTGTTGAACAATGACAATCCAGGTGGACGACTTTCATTGGCATTTCTGCTTCACATCCGCTTCATATCTGCAAGGTAGCATGATATTTGAGCATCATTGTCGGTGAGGTTCGTCATGTGAAGGCTGTGTAAGAATACCGTATACGTCAAGGGATGCTTGTCGACCCCAGCTTGTTTCACCATCTTCATCAAAGCTCCGATGTCCAATTGAGCAAAGGGGCATTCGCATCATCCCCTCCAATGCCGCTTCAGCATTTTGAACCTGAGCATGAAGCCAGGCAGTGCTTCTACGCCTGCTTGTGCAGTGTGCAATGCAAACACAGGAGAATGATGGTGGATTCTTGCCTCCGCCCATCTCCCCCTATTAGCATGATCAAGGCTGCCATGATCAACATCGTGCAAGGAAATGCTTTCAAGGGGATGGGATGAGGCACAAAACGGCACAAAACAGGAAGCTGAGCTTGATGTCAAACAGTGGTTTGAGGGAGCAACTATCGATGGTCGGCGACAATATCTCAGAAGCATCCACTTGTCGTTGATGTACCTGAGCTTCGCAATGACTCCGGTTTAGGAGTATTTCTGAGTAAGTCAAAGCCAAACAGCCGTGGGTCTGATATACAGTACATGCTTTCGAACTTCTGAGTTTCAACTTGACCACCCTGTGTGTACTCTCACATGCTCTACACTTCCTGCAATGTTGACTCAGCTTGACCATCCAACTTGCAACATGTAGCATCCTGGGCAATCGGACTGAAAGAGAATGCTGACCAGGCCCACCAGCGGTGCAAGTGGCAATAGAGGCATGTAGATCAACTGCCAGCGACGGTGAAAAGGGTAGGAAGACTTGCCTGCACTGCAGGACCTGGTGCTGTGGGCTTTAGACGGGCAGGGGTCAAGAAAAGCAGTTCGGCACATGAAAGTTGCCCTTGCCTGTCATGGCTCTGGACTTGCACAGGGCTGGTTTGGGTGGTGCTACAGTACAAGTACAGTATGGGTGGATTGGTGGTTAGTTTAGACTCGTGGCAAGCTGACCGGTTGGCCAGGCTGAGATTCCAACACAGCAGTAGTACCTTGCAGTTGAGAAGTTTGCAAGGTGCAATTGGGCTTGCCAGAAGCGCATCCAACCAATTCTCTTCAAACCTTGCTGGCAAGGGAAAGGGGCACGTTTTTTCCACGTTGGCATAGTGACGTGGGAGGTCCATGATGGTCGGTTCGAAGCAAACCTCACGAATATGTTCAGCCAATGCCCGGCTCAAGGAAAGCGAATTTGATTGACGCTACTAGGGGCTCCTGGCCTTACTACTAGGAGCAAGAAGCTCAAGTCTGATACTCCTAGATCTCCTAGGTCGCTGGCTTCCCAGGATCTCACCTCAGCTTGCCGAAAAGGGCCAAGAGGGGCTGTGTGGGAGAAAGGGATCGCATCTCCCAGTCTGCCTTTTAGATCCTTTTAGTGCTTTGACATGCCTCCAACCTAGTAGCTTCCAACCTAGAAGCATTGGCCTCCAACCCACTAGCGATGGCCTTCAGCCTTCAACCTACTAGCGATGGCCTCCAACCTAATAGCGATGGCGTCCAACCTATATAATGCTTTGACTTTGACACAAGGCCCTCAGAAAAATAGTGTTCCTTCGAAGAGTTGTTGAGTCTCTACTGTGCCTTTGCGAGCTCTTTGCCACAGCCAGCCTCGCCTTCTCTTCTACGTAGCGAAACATGTCTCTGTCCGTGGGATCCTGGCCCGGCAACACTGGCTGAAAAGAAACTGGCTTGGCACAGCTGAAAGGACTCACCATGCCAAAACCTTTAGCATTGTAATTGTAGAAGTGCGTGTTTGAAGCGAGATTTGTGCCAAAGCATTCCCCCTCACTCAGTACTGCATGCTGCATATGCCTACAAAAGGCCCGCCAGGTCTCTGGCAAAAGAGACTGGCAATGGCTGTTGGACAGGCTCACTCTAATGGAATCCTTCTCAATCCTTCCCCATAGAGGGCTTAGGCTGTCCCGAAGCCTCTTTGCCACGGTACTTGTCAAGCTCTAAGTTCAACTCCTCTGGTTCACTCCGAACGGCACGCGAGTAGACGGCGCATGGGATGGCCCCCAACGACGGGGGCCCAAAGAAGTCATGTCAGGAGCATGCCAGACTTGTGCGTGGAACCAGTGGAACCTCTCAGGCTACTAGTAGCGTTGTGTGCTCCTAGTAGTAAGGCCAGGAGCTACTAGTAATCCAGGGTGTAGCGTCCTTGCTCCTACTAGCAATGCCCTTTGTTGCTAGTAGCTTCTTGTTACTACAGCTTTTGTTTGGTATGTTCCTTGACTTTGTGACTCTTTATAGACTCGAGGATAAAGAGTTGATCCAAATGGTCATGCCCTACGACGCCTATGCCTGGAGAATGCCTTACTAGTCTACTAGAGTAAATGCAAGAACACAGAACACACAAGCATGTTGGGTCAACGACTTCGCTTGCGCAGCCGTCGATCCAACGGCGTCCTGCAGCTTCTGGGGCGTGAGCCGTCGACGGAAAAACCAATTCATCGCGAGCTCATAGTCCTGCTGAAGGGCTGAGCCCCACAGCTGAGTGGCGAGGAGTCTGGCAACGTCTGTGACCTGCTCTGCCAGCTAGCTCTTTATTCTGAGAATCTGTTCTGGCAGCTTCTTCTAAGAAGTGGGAGTTTCCGGGTGACACTGAACATCATCAAGATGAAATGAAGCGTAGGACGACGCAGGGTTGCATGACATAGCCACCATGGTCAGTCCATCAGGAACATCAGTGGCGGAAATATGAAATTGATGGCCTCACACGGTGCCCCCCACTCAACTTGAATATGCGAAAACTAGGTACTGTATGTATTTAAAAAGACTATTTAAATATACGTATATAATCCGCCGGCCTGCCGGCGTGTTTTGTGGATTGTTTTGGTTAGTATTGCTTGTGTTGGCTTCAACCTACGGTTTGTATCTCCGCGCGGATTTTTCGACAGCCTGACACCCCACCCCTCTCTACGTCTAATGTGATTGCACTGAGACATGTCGATCGCTGGATCAGAATAGACAACCATTGGACTGAGACATGTCGATCGCTGGATCAGAATAGACAACATCTGATTCGGATTCGTTCCATTTCATTGTAAAACGACTTCGCTTGAAATCAACATCAACAAACTCTCCCAGCAAAATGTGCAACTCCAATGCACCAACAAGTCTGATTGAGCAGGGTATTGTTGTTCGATGTCATTCTGGGTCTTTCATTTCAAACGGTTTGGAGAAAAAAACGACAAATCATGCCAGATCTAGAAATTCTTCGGTCGCTTTGAAGCCAAAAAGAATATCTGGTGCGTGTCGCAATCCCTGGAGACGGTCGGAAAAAAGATCTGAAAAGGAAAACATGCAAACGGCCAAGTAGTTTGGAAGAAGAGTCGTTTTCAAGGTCATGTTTTGTGGATAGTCTTGGTTCGCATTGCTTGTGTTGGTTTCAATTGGTTCCGCTTAGGTGATTCGACTGAGACATGCCGGTTCGGATCGCTGGATCAGAATAGACAACCTCTGATCGGATTCGTTCCATTTCATGGTCAAACAACCTTGAAATAAACATCAACAAACTCACCCAGCCAAATGTGCAACTCCAATGCACCAACAAGTCTGATTGAGCAGGGTATTGTTGTTCGATGTCATTCTGGGTCTTTCATTTCAAACGGTTTTGAAGAAAAAACGACAAATCATGCCAGATCTAGAAATTCTTCGGTCGCTTTGAAGCCTTCTGTGTGTGAAAAAGAATATCTTGTGCGACTCGCAATTCCTCAAGACGGTCGGCAAAAAGATCTGACAAGGAAAACATGCAAAAGGCCAAGTAGTTTGGAAGAAGACTCATTTTCAAGTACCGGCTTTGTGGATTGTCTTGCTTCGTCTGCCTTGTGTTGGTTTCCATTGGTTTCAATCTACGGTTGGTTTCAATCTACGGTTTGTTTCTCCGCGCGGATGTTTCGACAGCCTGCCCAGCCCCGGTTGCTTCAGACTAGGCCATGGCGAGAACAGGAAAAAGCGCGTTGAATCAAAGAGACGTGCCGGATTATATAGCTGCTTCAGCCTAGAAGAGGTGATCTTGTCCCTGCCTTGGAACGAAAATAGAACTGTGGAACACTGTTAATAAGCATCATTAGGCTGCCTGCCAATGCGGGCTCGAGCTGGTTGCCGGCGGCATGCCGAAGGCTGTAAATATATCTATATGTGTGTATATATATATATATACGTGTGTGTAACATGATTCCATCCCCTCATGCACATTTGGATGATTCTTTCTTGCCCGAGGGTCATGCTAACATCGCGTACATGTCACTGACCAGGCCAGACGCCCTCAGTGAACAGGGATGACGCAGCAAACTTCGGCTCGGAAAGCGAGGATCAGTCGATTTGATCTTGCTGGTCACACGTGGCGGTTCAACCGGCTCGGAGGGGCAGTCTGTTGCAAGAAGCATTCATTATAAAAGCTCAATGTAGCCAGGGTGCTTGAACCAGTCCGGAGGAACCCAGGAGATGTTCCTTGACAAAGTCAATCACACCAAGGAGTCATCACTATGTAGCCAGCTGTTGCAAAACCCTCTGGCATTTCCCCAATGACCCTAATGATCGTGGAACTGCATCTCATACTTCAATACCAGGTTTCCACAGCACCACTGCGCCGTTGATAACCATGGCCACCTGATTTCGCTGACTTGACCATGCCAGCAAAACCAAGTTAAGTCCAAAACCCATGTTGCGGTATGCAAAGCTTGAGCCTGTTGCTCAACCTTTGATTGAGATGCCATCAGTTTGACATCGGCAAGAGTGATGAAGGTACCAAAGGGACACAAAGCTTGCCTCTTCATACTGATGCCAAGGGGCAGTCATGTACCAAGTGATTGCTGCTGCCTCTCCTGTCCTCACGGCTGAGCAACAGCACATATTGAACATGGACCGAGCAAAGCTTGAACAGTAAAGCCGTAGATCTTCCGCTGGCTAAGCTCGACCGCATTGCATCGGATTCGGACTTCTTGTGTTGAACATGTTGAACCATTCCCAATTGCCATTTTGGATGCTTGATGAGAGCATCCGCATTCTTCAAGGTCAGCCAACACCGTTGGAGAATAGCTGGGAGCGGCACTTTGTCAAATGGACTTCACGTTCTCCAAACCACCTGAGGCAAAATCATAGGCAATCCCATAACATGAACTGCAGGAGTGTTTCAAGAAGAGGTTCAGGCTCGCTCTTGACGCATCTCCGCACTACTCCAGTGAGTTTTCACTTGGCTTCTACCAGTTGCACCATACATGTTGCAAGAGCCTGACCGATCCACTTCAACTTCAAAGCTCGCCTTGCAACCAGCATCAACAGAACGTTGATGATGGTGATCTTAGTTGGAAATGCTTGCGGCGGCTCAGCGTCAATTGCAGAGCATCCGCTGATGCTCATTGAGACCGCTTGTTGCGCACCGTTCACGCGACCGTGCGAAGCACTGAAAGCAAGGAAACTCGACCTCCGCCCTGCTCTTTCCATCTCTTTCCCGCTTGTAGTTTCAGAGAAATATCATGCATGCAGGAAGCGTGAGTAGTATCTAGAATCTAGGTAAGTTGTCCAATCTGCCAAATGAAGTCGAGAGGCTGCTGTTGCTGGCAGCAAAGATGTGACCGTCAGCGAAACAATGTACTGGCAGCGTGATGATTCGGCAACGAGTGGATTGACAACAAATTCAGTCTCAGTCCCTCAAATCCCAACAAAGAGTTGCAGGGGCACCTCCCGGCTAATCCCAGGCGGAGGTTTCACGGCCTGGCCAAATGGGCAATGGCTAAACTCATAAATTTGGTTGATATCACCAAAACCAAGAAGCTGAGACGAAAGGAAGGAAGGCAGAAAGAAAGGACAAAAACATACAAAAACAGGTCTACTTAAGGTCTAAAGCACAAATCAAAGCATAACAAATACAAAGACAGGCAATTATCCACATACCAGCTCTAGCAGGAGGTGTTTTGGTTCAGTTCCAAGACTTGGAACTCGAGCAACATGCATCGCGCCATATCGCAACCCATTTTACAAGCGATTTTGCCAGCGCCTTCCTCGCTCTTGAATGCCGAAGGTCTTAGACCACGCGCCCGTCAATAAGTGTGACATAGTCTATTATTCTAAACTAGTTAATTGAGAACTCAAGGCGCTCAGGTTTCCAAGACTCACTTGTCCTCCTCCTGGGCTCATGCAAGCAGAGTTCCGGTACCCAACTTTAATCTTGAAAAGCGATCCACAATTTCTCATTTTGCCCGGCAGTGTAAGAATGTTCAATGACTGACATGGTTTGATGGTGCTATGGTTGGCAAGCACAAGCGTGCCTTGTAATAATTTAACCAAGCATGTGTGCGGGATGATCCAGTGTAGCATATCCAATTGTCCAATGATTGCACTGGTGCACACGGATTTGGGTCAAAGGCCCTGCCTGCACTTCTGATGGTGCACACTTACGTCGCCAGCTCGTTGCCTCGAGGCTCACAAATCTGCACGGTGCTTACGAATCATACTACAGCAGGGTTCTGATGACAATTATATGTACAGTATAATATATGACGTATGGACCAAATATACACCAAAACTCAATGATGCATTGCCACATGCCAACCCATACTCATACACCACAAAGGTGCCCCTACCCGAGCTCAGAAGCACTTGTTTGAAAGCAACTGGGAGAAAAAGCCAAGAAATGCCATAAACGTCAGATTAAAAAGAACAAGCTATAATAAGCCAAGCGTTCACAAACTGTTACGTTTGTTTGACAAAAGTATGTTAGTGATTCGTTATGAAAATCAACCAAAAACACAGAAATTGACACTTTGTGTTTGTTCTTGTGTCGGTGAATGATTGCAGGCGCACTTTGGACCGTGTGCGGTCAGGCTGCGGAGCCAAAGCGCCACACCACCACCGGCCCCGCGGGCGGCAGCAATCTTGTCATCGACAGCCACAAAGTTGAAGGCCGGCTGCTTCTTGTAAGGAGTCTCAATGGATGGATTTACTGTAGAATGTTTTTTCTCAGGATTTAGGATTCATGATTCAACTGGACATTTGGCACCCTCAGATTCTACTAGTAACAAGAAGCTACTAGGTTGGAGGCCATCGCTCTTAGATTGGAGGCGATCGCTACTAGTAACAAGGAGCTACTAAACTAGTAATTATCTTCTGACACTGCCCATCCAAGGTGCTGAACTCTTCATACCCGCCATACTGCGAAGCCAATCTGGCAGGGACAGGCTCGCTCCGCAGACTTTAAGCTCCTGTCAACATTGACATGACACTTTGGCATAGAGGATTGTGGACAGTTATATAATGCCAGTGGAAACTGGTGTGCATATATATATATAATATAACTGGAAAATACTGGAAACAACATAGCAACGTATAGTAAATAGTAGCAGCTTCATACTCACTCAACAAAACAGAAGACATGTCGTACTTCACAATCCTGTGGCACAGGGCTCCTCAAAGTCGAACTCCAATCTCCGCTGATCTTCAAGCCAGCGGAGGCTCCCTTCAAATTCGATTGAGATGGGCCCGAGGTAGACCTTGGAATTTCTTCCAGCTACGTGCGATCAGAGACGATCAAGTCCATTGCACAAGTCCTTCCAATTCTTAAGCATTGTGGGAACGGGCTCTGTGACTTAGGTGAATCAGGTCACTCCGTTCCGGATGAACTTCTTCTCCATGTCGAACCGCTGCACTGCTGTGATCGGCACATAGTTGATGCGACCGATATCCTCAGTACGCTCACACTACGAGTAGATTGGCTTAGACTTGATTATATTCCATCATATTCCATCACTCTGATTTGCAAATCGTGGTTTGGCACCAATTTCCCTGCGGTCAAGAAGAAAAATGAAAGGAACATGACAGTGAGCTGAGGTGCATCCTCTGTCTTCTTCGTACCGGTCGTGTAAATGAGACGCCAATCGCCGGTCAAAAACTGGGCAAATCCAGATTCGCCGGTCCGGTTCCTTAGCGGGGAACTCTTGCCCTCAATCAACCGGCTTAGGACACAAAACACACCTGATTGCAATCAATTTGCTTTTATTAAGGAGACACCTGACGGCGAATGCATGCAAATGCCAGGGGCTGTGATGGGCTTTGTATGGGAGGTGTCGATTTGTTCGGACCGACGAGCTGTAGCAATCGTCTTTGATCCCAGTGTCTTGGCTTTCTCAAGCACTCGGATTGCTTCAAAGACCTCTTCTGGTTCTGTCCTTGGCCAATGGGTCGGCAGCCTTCAGCCCTCTCCAATTCATGACAAACAAATATCGCAAATATGTTGCTTGCCTGTCTTACTTTGTCTGAACTAAAAGGCTCACAGGATGCAAACTCACACCTCTAAATGATGCTACGGTTTAATCCTGATCCATTGCATTCAATTGAGGAAGTTCACACATAGTGAACACCTCTTCTGGGGTGGTGGATTATTGGCTGAAGCCGAAGCACTCGCGGGTCATAGCTGACTCCGCCAAGCTTTTCAGTGCCTCCTAGCAGGACTGTGGAAAGCCAAATGGTGATAGTGTGATATCAGTACCACTTGATGGCTAGTACATGTTGCTGCTCAACGACTGTGTTTGCACTGCGCGTTGACCCATTGAAAGGAATTGAATATACAACCAGCCCGGCCTGCTTATTGTCAGCAGGTTCTGTGTCCTGCGGCATGGCGCCCAGTCTGACTAAAAGCTTTTTTGGCTCATGGCGAAATTATTGTTAAGGGACTGCGCAAGAGCAGAACCAGCGCAGGTTTAAGCACTGGCTTGAATACAGTTACAGGTACACCTGGCCAGCACAAAACTATGACAAAGTATGATAGTATGGCTATGGGGTACTACCACATATGCCACAAACGTGTCCTTACTAGTAACAAGGGCATCGCTACTCGTAACAAGGGCATTACTACTACTAGCAAGAAGCTACTAGTAGCGGTAGCGATGCCCTTGTTACTAGTAGCGATGAACTTGTAAGAAGCTTCCTGTGTCACAAAGATCGTAGGTTTTCACACCAAAACTCGCTCCTCTGCTGCCCGCTGCACGTGAAGTGCGCGAGGGCGGCTGCGCTCACTTCGCTCTGTGCTGAGCCCTCCATGCCGCGCCACAGGTGCCAGGAATGCCCAGCCCAGTGGCAGTAGAGCCCTTGGTGCGGTGCGGTTTCCAACGAAGGTCGGTGACCCAAAAGTCCCATCCGCAAAGCCCTTGCGGTCCAGGGACTTAACAAGTATCAAACAAACTATATATATCTATCTATATATACATAACATGTGCAGTAAATGTAAACTTTGCAGACTGCCCCGCAAAGTTCCACCATGTTCCACCAAAGGCAGTGGGGACTTGCCATCCCTAGTATTCTGTGAAGACTTATCAAACAAGGTCGGTGCAGTTGGAACGTGGACACCGAATAGCTCCGAAACGTCCTCACATGTTCTCACATGGCTGTACCTGTTCTGAACAGCTGTCTAAAAATCTTGGTGCCCAGTTATCTAGGGCCAGCGCCAGCACCAGCGTCTCCGTGGCATGCGCGGTGCCATGGCGAAATTGGATGAATCGAGTTGAAGCAAACAAACAACTTTTTGAATCCAGCTCAGCAAATGATTGAAAGATATTGAAACTGTCGGACATCTCATGTAGCTAAGCACCAAAAACTGCCGATTCTGTCGAAGCGGACGCTACCTCGCTGATTCTGATTGGAATTTGAACTTGACCGACCGGGTGACTCTGAAGAAACACTTGCTGCAAACATGTCTGCAGAATTTCGGCACGACAATTCCATATAATTCCTGGCTCATGTATGTGTCAGAAATCAAGCCTGACTCCAGGGTCCACAAAGCATCACGCGCACAATCCTTGTCGAACACAATCCGCCCATGGCCCATGGTCCCTGTGCTCGCAACAAAGAATACTGTATAAAGAATGGTAAGGACATCTAAGGATGACAACCTTGCCAAACTTTGCCAAACATGTTTGCACAGAAAGAAGTGTCACGCGTCCGCGCACCTGTCGGGAAACTCTGCTGAGGACAAAAACCATGATGTAGGAGACTGGCACGCAGGACACGACAAAAATGAATGATTTGTGGAAGCACTGCCACGGTTGCAGGTTCTGGGCCATAGTACACATTCCACCCGATAGACCAACCATCACTAATTACATCTATATAGTCTATATATATAATTACCGTCCAGATCCGTCCAGCCTATGAGGATGATGGTCAAGGCCACCTCAGTGACGGGCTTGTGGCTTGTGTCGCCATCTGTCTCTCCGAACGTACATGTTTCACTTCGGCACCTGTCCCGGGTTGAGCAACAGGGAAGACAAAGTGAGCATTAGCATCCAAATTCAGATGACCCTCATCACCCCTTGATGCTGGTATGATTGCTACATATTGCTACAGTACGTTCTGCTTTCACACGCATCCGCCTAAGCATTGCTTGGAAGCTTCAGAGGCCGGCTAGCCAGTCCTTATTCTTCAACGCTTTTTGCACTTTGGCCCACACGATGGTGGCGGCCTTCCGCAAAACGAATTCTGTCGTCGTGCGCCCAGCCTGGATCAGCCGCAGCGCAGCCAATGAGACTTCTTGGAGTTTGACCAAAATCAGTTGCAGTCGCTGAGTCCTTCACATCTCGCCAGTTGATGTCTGTAGGGTTTGGTGCTCGGCTGACTCTCAGCTGGTACCTTGGCAAGAGGGTCATTGGGGGTTGGGATCTAAAAGCGCCAAATCCAAGAAACTATAAGAACAAAAGCTATTTTAAAAGACATGCATCGAAAATCATAGAAAACAGCAGGATAGATTCCAGAACCCCAGAATGCTCACACACTTTCTGAGGTCTCAGCAGCGGTCTGCCACCAACCTGGCAGGGGGAGGTTTGTGAGTCCTTGCTCCCAGTAGCGAGGCCAGGAGCCCGTAGAAGCGTCTTTGCTCCCAGGATCATTTGGGATCAATGTTAATGCTGCGATCCAGAAACTCGTCAAATGTTCCAAGTTGCCATCAGCAAACTGGCAAGCTTGCCCTTCTGGATGCCAAGTATATTAATTAGACATATACTATAGAGAGAGAGGTGGAGCTTGACTTTATGGAACATTGAGAGGCATCCTGAGACCGGAAACACTGCTGGGCCTGGAACTTGGGCAAAGGCTGAGCATCACTCAGGAGGGAGCACCTTGTGGAGTCAATCATGGTTCTTTTCAGGTCAGCCGTTCGCCGCGGTGAGCGAAGGAGAAAAAACACATGGTGCGCGATGTTGCGGAGCTCAGAGTTTGAACCAGCACCGTAAAAACCAAAAGAATGAAATGCAACTGACCAACTCAAAATCCATGATTGCCATGTCACTTCTTCTCAATCCACCTGCACTTACACGACCAAGCGCGCCTTTGTCAGGGGTGTCTGTCTAGATCCCAGAAGCAAGTACAAATGTACAAACCAGCTTTCTCGTCCTATGCGCTTTACAGTCTGTCATCTCCCAGCTAAGTCAGGCACCAAGCACCTGGTGAGAATCTCGTGTTTTGTGGCATCTTCAGCATAACCGAGTTTACTAGCGCCTAGCAATGCATATGTTAACTTTATAGCGGCGATAACACTCGATCAACAACAAAACATGACGACATAGTTTGAGGAAGCGCGTGCCTATGTACTCTTTGCTTTCATCGAAGCTCTACAAAGAAGGAACGTAAAGAATGAATCACAGTAAAGCGATCTAAGCACTTACGACTTGCCTGAGCTAGGTGTCTTGTAGAACCAGCGCTGCATGAAGCCGTCCCAGTGGCGCAAACACCTTGGCATCAGTGCCATGAAATCTCAGTTCTACCCCAGGGTACCAGGACAAATTTCCCTGGTTTCCCTTACCTACAGCTCGAGCGCAAAGAGCGACTTGCTGTTTGTCCCACATGTCGACTTGCTGTGATCAAGTCTGATTTACGTGCTGTGGAGTCATGGCCGGCCTGGCTGGGTCATAGCCTACTTATAACTTCTGACAAAGGTCAAGGGCACTATTGACTGAGTTAAAAGGCCGTGAAAGCAGTGAAAGGGGTTCCGGCTGCAGCAGCAGCTTCAGTATACAACCAGCGAAAGTACTCAATGAGTCGAAAGTTGTCGAAAGCATTGAGAGCTCTGTTTGTAGCCACGTCACGCGACTTGGTCCGCCTGCATTCTGAAGACCTGACATGTCCGGCTTGAGGTCAAGGTGATTGGATGATTTGGGCATATTTGGGCTGCATGTCTTGAAACATCTTGAAACAAACATCGAGAACCCAAGAATGGTCAATCAAGTGGCTCGGATTCATTTAACAAACACCATTGAGGTCATTCACCAAACATGCCGGGGGAGCAACTATGGCAATGCCAGCGGATTTCAGCTCTGCAGCCTCATGTCCAGTAAAAATGGCGTGGCGTGAAGGACAATGAACTCATCCCTGACTTCTAGTCTAGGATCCAGGAGTTGATGAATGTTGCACAATGCAATTATATATAAAAGTTTAGAATCAGGAAATTGGAGATTTGCCAGCACTGAAAGAGGTGACATGCAAATACATCAAGCAAACCACTGCAGTCACTAGAGTCACTAGAGCGGCAAAATTCAACCCAGCTTGGCTGGCAGCTGGGTGCCCAACACCTCCCTTGCTCAGGTCAAGCCGATTCTCCAAGGCCTGGAGTTGCGAGGCTATCGAATGTACTGTATTCACGGTGCTCCGTTCGTGCACAACAGAAGCGAAGCGAAGCAAAAAAGATCAAAAAAGCGATTGGACCGTGGGCCTCAATCTCTTTCGCCAAAGAAGCCTGCAGGACGGATGGTCAACATCAAAGCCTTGGATTGAAAAGTTCTGTCCGGCTTTTTCCTGATGACTTTTTGATCTTTTAGATCACCAAACCTATGGAGAGGATTCGAAAGGGTTATATAGAAGTGGAACATCTTGACTCAAATATTCCCGACCAACCAAATAAAACTCCACTGTAAACGTGTTGGATTCTGCAGGGCGAAAAATGAAAGAACATCCACATTGGCATTGGCAACAGTGTTTTGCACCCTGAGTTGTCCGGAATGCCTTTTAGAATGGTTGGGAGTCGGGACAAATCCACTCCGATTGTTTTCTGTCCTCCTGGTCTGGAGGTAGAACAGTTCCATCCATCCTGTCAGGATTTACAAGCTTGTGTGCTGCCAATGGAAGGTGCTAGGCTATACTTGCAGAATCATCTAAACAGGTTCCAATTACCATCAAATGGATCTGCAAAATGGAACAAATACTGTAACAACCCTTGCAGTAGGCTTTGTGGAACCCCTTTTGAAAACTGTTGAACCATGCTTGACAGTGTCAGGACAGCCCTTGTCCTTCATTTATGTTTGTTTTGTCGATCACTTGTTCGCAATTGGCACAAACTGGTTTGAGACGGCACGGCATCTCGTCTAGAGCTGGGTGGTCCAGGGCATATCACATGCGAAGTGAATGACTGACCACCAAATTGCAAAAACCGTTCGACTTCATATAGCTGTTGTATATACTGTATATATATGTATATGAATACACACAGTCACGCATATATATATATATATATCTGTACACACAGTGGTTAGGTGGTTGATGACTGCAGCATACGAGGGCATTTCACATGTGGTTTCCACACTTCCTGTCCTTTGGCTTCTTCTCTTGTCACGGAGCTTTTTCAACTGTTTGGCCCTAGGAAAGGGACACGATGCCAGGTATAGAACGAGTAGGTCGGAGGCCATCGCTAGTAGGTTGGAGGCCATTGCCATTGCTATGAGAAACAAAGAAAAGGAAAAGGAAGAAAGGTCTAATATAGGTTGCATTAGTTTGCTAACTTACTAACTGTACGTGTGCAGCTCGTTGCTAGCAACAAACCCCTTCGTCACTGCCGCCATATCCGTCCCAGGCAGTTGGGCCAGTCAACCAGCATCACAATTCCAAGACTTCCAAAGGTGGGTGGAAGGGATGGGCTCTAAAAAAGGCCTAATAGTAGCCTCTTGTTCCTAGTAGTGTTCCTAGTAGTAAGGCCAGGAGCCCCTTGTAGCGTCATGTAGCGTCCTTGCTCCTAGTAGCGATGCCAGGAGCCCCTAGTAGCGTCCTTGCTCCTAGTAGCGATGTTTCAAAGGGCAACCGGTCCACCCCTTCCACCCAAGCCAGGCACTGCTGAGCATTCCAAGCATACACATTTGCAGGAGGGTTTGGGTGTACTGTCCGTATCCATGCCCACCCCAGTGTACACCACCTCTGAACGAATGCGCACTTGCCTCGAAAAAGAGGTCGGTTTCTAGTTTTCGGCTTCTCTAGGCTAGCCTGCCGTGCTCTTTCTATCCTTTTGGGAATTGTTCACGGAGCTCAGCATGACAGTGGATTCCCGCCAAAAAGGCAAGCAGCACGGTGTTTTCCTTGCAGCCCCAGCAGCGTCTGCTCAAACTGCGCGACGTTCCAACCGATGACCACCTTCACTACCTGAAAGTACAGCTTTTCAAGTGCTTGCTGGGCTCTTTGGTCAGGGTTCTTTGGCCTTTCAAGCCAAGAACATACACAAGACAGCAAGACATGTCATCGCAGGGCCGATCTTCATGCGGCATTGTGTATGCTACCCGGGGAAGCACATGAAGAATATAGTGTCAAACTCAGTCGAATCTCTACCCTGACACAGTTACACCGTGGGCCCTGAATGGCCTCGACTCTCCGCCCTGGAACAGCATTTTCCTGAAAAAACTCTTTGATGACCTCGTCAAACGATGCCAAACCGCAAAGCACATGCGGCATGTGAATGCATGTGACGTTGCGCCTGCATCAAAAATATGACTATGGATGTTCTTGGTCAAACCCAACCCAACCAAGTTGCACTGCCACCACAGAACAGCAGTTCTTCTCTGAGAGGGCAGCTGTGTCTTCTTTGGCTGTAGGTGGCAAGCCCTAAGCCGCGAGTTCCATGTACATTGTGGGATTAAAAGAAGCAACGAAGGCAGCAAAGGGACAAAAAGTATGACACAGTCAACCGGCCTCCACTAGAACAGCAAAGTCATTGGGATGGGTAGTCTCCAGGTCGACCTGGCAATGTGACCGAGGCCCAATGCCGCTGAAATGAATGTCAATCCGTATGCAGTTGTGTAGTCTGTTGTGTCTGGTCATGCGACGCCTCAATGCCCGACATCTAGACCAATGACGTGAGGCTTGAATTGCAGTCCATTCGGCCCCCAGCTTTCGCGTTCAATCGAGTTTGGCTTTTTCTACGTAAACTATTGGCACTGCATCCGGCGTGGATTGATCCAAACCTGCTCCGGTCGTACAAGCACATCTGGCATCACAAAATGTTGAGAAAGAGGGATCCCAATATAGGGTTCTCACGCAGTGCTTGTACTTCTAAGCTCCCAAGTCTCCTTCAAGACTTTTCGTCCTTCGTTTATGGGAAAGACAGAAATGAAGCTATTTGGGAGCAGGCAGTGCACCGCATAACGATGCACAAACAAAATGATGGGATCGTGGCTTCCAAGGGCCCAGTCGTTCACTGCATGAAGCTGCAGCTGGAGAGTCACACACATGAAACAGCAAAACATTGGGTGATTGAAGCTGGACAAGCATTGGGACCTTGATATGGACTTATGCCGCTTGTGCCATGTTGACAGCAAATGTGGACTGCAAAATCCCTGGCACGCTTGGCGGGCAGAATGCCGATCGCAAAAAGCATTTCCTCCACCATTTCTGGTACCGAGGTATCCTATATACCTTTCTAATGAGTTTGATTCAGCATGCTTCTAGTGACATATGGCTCTATATATATATATCGGTTCATCTCATTCAGATGTGCCAACCTACCCATAGAACTGAAGAAAGGCGAATACATACCGGCAATAAGGTGTATACTATACAGCATGTGAGGCTTGCACTGCTCGATTTGGCTTCCAGCACCCCAGTCCACATTCAGCATGTTGCTTGCTTTGATGTAACCCAGGTGAAACGCGCTGAGCATGGTGGTCCACTGGCCCAGTTCCAAATGCTGTGGATATGATGATGCGCTATTTACATCACCCAGTACTCGAAGTGGGGAGCTCGCACTTGTGAAACTCCTCCGTGTAAACCACTGGAGGTGGAAGCCGTTGCGCATTAAGGTGGCACATGTGCCAAAAGCGTTGGAAGCAGAGTGAGCTCAATATAATATTAGCTATGGATCCAAACTCCAAACTGATCGCGAATGGACTGCCAGGGATGTCAATGTACCATGGCATGTTGAAAAGTTAGCTATTGACCCATTCCTAGCTGACCATCACCAATATCATATCGAAAAATTGCACACCGATGTCTCCACCTCAGTTGCAACAGCTGCTCGGATTCCTGGTCTCCCTCTTTCACTCAACTATGTGATAGAAAAACCTGGTTGAGCCAGGTCAAGTGAATTACCAGGAGTTGGTACGAGTTTGGCTAGACTTGGCTAGACTGGACAGAAAATGTATCTCGTCACTCGTGACCATTATATATATACCCATTGCCATGTTGAGCCTCAGATTCTACCCATTCAAGAGCAGCTAAAAGCTTTCTTCCTGGAAATTCCTCCAATGTTTGCCTTCCCCGATCGGGGATAAATCGCATCAGCGGCCCTTCAACTGGTTGAATGTGTCATCCAATCTGCTCTGCAGCTGTTCAACCTCCCTCGTCAAATGCCTGCAGCTGAGCAGGTTGATCATGAGGCTGCGAGCATGGCATCAATCAAAACACGTGCAAATTGTGCGAAGACAATCCATTTGTAAGATCTAAATGAATTCAAATGCCGATACTTCCGGAGGGTCCCAATATCTAAAATCCTGTCCAAAAGGCCCTCGTTGTGTTTGATCCACACTTAGGATTTTTTCCCTCTCGGTGCCGAACTTCCGAAGGCTCCGCGCGGCATCCTCGTCCTGGAAAGGTTAAAAAAAGGCCAACGATCACCGGGTGAAGAAATCGCCATGCTACTGATGTTCTATTTGATGTCGATGTTTATTTTTAGATATGCTATGCTTAACATTTTGTATATAGATGTGTGGAGGATTGTGGATGTAAAATGATGTAAATCTGTCAGCAATTTCCTTCGTGCAAAAATCCTGCTGCTATTTATGGTTTCTGGCGAGGGCGGTTGAATCACCTAGAATGCGCTCCATGATCATGTCAGTTTTCTGCGCTGTACCTCTTACACATGGTGAAACCGCAGGCCTGAGATGACAGCCCTGCAGTCGAGACCTGCAAAACTCGGCATCCCTACTCCCTACCACCAAGCTGAGTCAGCCAAGCCTACTCAACTCAATCGAGCTCATGCACTTCTCAGAAGCTTCCCAGAAGAAGCAGAATCAGGGACTGTCTTCAACACACCACCGGTCTTTGATTTGTTGCGAGTGCCTTTCCCTAGGTCCCTTTTGCACAAGACCAGCCGGGGAGGCCGAGTCAATACCACGGCATTGTAGTCGGTCCAGGCGGGCTTCCAGCTGCGCCAAGTCTGCCCGCGCTTGGCCAGGACTCACCTGGACTACCGGTGGCCCCAGTAAATGGGTGACTTCCTTGCAGTTTCATGCTGCTATTGCTGGGAATCGAGGGAGCCCCCCCAAAAAAGCAAACACAACGATATCAATCAACACGACCAACTCTTAAATCAACAAAAGCGAGTGTCACCTATTCTTTCTGGCACATCTTCACCCCCAGCCTGAGCACCAACCAAAGCTAGCTGCGTCCTTTGCAACTGCCGTGTGGCTTCTTCCAGCTGCGCCTGGAATTTACAAGCTCTAACCAACCCACCCACCCACCCTCCCTCGCTCGCCCTCTGTCATTCTCTCTTGTATTGAAACAAGTGACCAGCTCACTGAAAAGATCTGAAAACTGCCGCGACTTTTCTCTATTTGCCAAATTAAGCTACTAGGAGCAAGGACGCTACTAGGAGCAAAAGGCATCGCTACTAGGAGCAAGAACGCTACTAGGGGCTCCTGGCATCGCTACTAGGAGCAAGAACGCCTCACAGTCTCGTAGCTCGGACATGGCAGTGGAGGATGCCTCAAGAACGGCACAAAAAGCGGAATCTGCCATGACAAGTAATTGTCAAGTACAGCCCCTACTATTGCTGGTGTGTATGCATGAGACATGACATGGGTAGACATGTGACTGGTGCAAATCAAGAAAGAAAGTACTGCAAATATGTATAAATAATGCAAATGTGCAAAATGTGTGTATGTGCGCCCAGTGGTGAGCAAGAGCACTTGTTTGCACATCCTCATGTTTTGCTGGGCGTCGTTTCCATGAAAGTGGGCATGTTTAGTGGTTTGCCACTTGGCGAAATCTTTGTCACACTAAGATCATCTAAGACCTCCTCGACATGGTTTGACCAATCACAGCCAAGACATGGTCCAAACCGTCACACAGTTCTCGCCTCGTCCACACTCTGCTGTTCCTTCGGAGATTGGTCAGAAACCTGGGCGGGGGCATGGGCGTGACAAAGCGATGTTGCATGGTGTTCATCAGCTGTTCCAGCCGTTGTTGTTTCATGTCTGTCTTTTACCTCGATGCCTTATACAAGCCTTAGGGACCGGCCAAGCCATCCCCCAAGGGAATCACCTGTGCGTCTGGCGGCTTGCGATTGGAGTCCCAAAAAAAAAAGCAGCTTGCGCACTGACACCATGCTCAAGCTTCGTCCAAACGAAACTCAATAATAACAGTATACAGTATTAGTACAACATAATACAACATGGTTTCGATGTTTTCTATGTCAGGCATGTGTACCTCACAGAACCGCACTGAAGAGGAGTGGAGTTTGAGCCTCTGGAAGGTCGGGCACCTTCGCCGCGTCCGGCCCTGCAGTGATTGAGAAATACCAGCAGCTTGGTGGGAAGAACCCCCATAGAGATCAGCCGATGTATGCCCAGCATCCTTCTTCTTCAGCAGACTTCCACAACTTTCTACTCATGAATACGCACTCATCTCCAACACCATCTCACCGGGCCATCCATTTTGACTTGCAAGACCCCACCTGTGGTACGCTGCTCTGGCTTTGCCGGGTGTCGCTCCATTGTCTCTCGAAGCTCTTGAGGGACTGGTGGTATGGGTGGCATGTGAGATTGTTGCTCACGACCCAATGCACCTCTGGCATCCTGGAGAAGTGACACATGAAAAGCTTGAAGTGAAAGGTAGGTCTGTGCAAGCTTGCTCAATCAAGCACGTTTTGACCCTGGCCCCGTCCCATGCACCTTTCTCAGTGCCGCAGTGCAGCAAAAGAAGTCCCCCCGAGTCTATTAAGAGCCAACAAACATACAAAAACACCAAATGAGCTTGGGCAGCATGGGTCCTTCACAAAGCTGTCAAGGTAGGTCTCTGGAAAGTGATGCCTGCTGCAAGGCTGCCAAAAGCCACTGCTAGCAAACGCCAAAAAAGGATTGCAAAGCACAAACTGGTGGTACCAAACTGGTGATTCTGTGGCAAGTATTGGTGGGTGGGATTCTGTGGCTCCAAGAAGGTTCTCCCAAGCGCTCCAGCTGGACCAACTGGCAAACCTCCAACTTGCTCGCAACCTACATAGTGAGCTGAACAAGGGCCCCTGAATGGCCATCCATCACCCCCGACCTGCCTGGGCATGCCTGGAACATGAAGGCCCTCTGGTGGGCGCAAACCATAGTAGTGCCTCTCTTCAGTGGGTCTTGGTGGCCTAGGGGAGGCAGCAAGTGTGGTGAGAGAGCTTGTGAGCTACTTTTGGACCAAGCTGCTCAAAAAGGAAGTCCCGTGGGCGAGACCTCAAATGCCAGGTGCTCTTATTTAAAACATAAAACATCAACTATCTTGGCATAGCTTTGCTTCTACAAGAATGCAGAAGTGCTGGTCACTTTTATTGTTTTTGAACTGCTTTTTGCATGTAGTCAACAAACTTGTCACGTCTTCAGAGCAAATGTGCACGTCGTCACGTCAGCTGCTTCTCCGCTTTGAAGCCAAGCCACTTCTCCTCCCAGGCACGTGCTCCAAATGCTTGGGGCCTTAGTACTAGGACCGGCACACATCTCATATTCTATAGGAACAGTAAATATACTCGACCAGTGAAACAACCACCAACGATTGAGTTGGAATTGAGGAGCACCAAAATCATGTAGCACTGAGTCTGGTTGAAGTGTGACAACTGCACAATAAAATCTGCTACATCAGGCACCAGCGGGTCTGATCGCTGGGGCCTCCCAAATCCTCGAGAAGGGTCACTGTACCTCAGAGCACCATGGCAAACAGCAAATCTAGGAATCTATATATAAAGTATCCAGCTACTGAGCCTTCTGAAATCCTACTATTGATGCCAGTCCGGCCCTTGACGGAACAAACTGCCAGCAATCTCAAGGTAGGAACTGCAGCTTCGCGGGATCTATGTAATTACTACAGTCTGTTTGAGTCAGCGAAGTCTCAGAAAAATTCAACAAAGGCAGAAGCGCAACCGCTTGTGATACAGGGACCGTCAGGGACCAGGCTACTGCAACAGCCAGGCCTTTCGTTCTGCTCGTTTCCACCAAGGAACATCTCTCGTTCGAAAGTGTCACCACGATCATGGCTGTACCTCTGCACGCCACTGATTTGTGTTTTTCATCAAGCTGCAGGTTAATAGGTTAAAAGGCTTTTCCCCATCAATCTGCAACACCGCAAGCAACAGCAAATAAGAACAATAATTGTTTTTGTGGTGGTGCTACTTTTCAGACTCCCTGGATTGTTTGCTAGGGGAGGGTTATGCCAATTCAGATCCAACATTAAGCCATTTGTTAGAACCCTCCCTTCTCTATCTCCCTCCCTCCCTCCCTCTCCCTCTCTCTCTTTCTCTCTCTCTCTCTCTCTCTCTCACTCCAGCTGAGTTGCAAATCATACCTTTGCTCTCTGCCCTGGAAGGGCTCGCTGTACCTCAAATAGCGATCTCTCGACTCCACGTCACAAGCGAATCCAGATTGAACCATGAAGCGTCGATAGTACACCCCCCTCTTCAGTGCCATTGGCGTTCTTTCAGTACACCACTGTCATGCAGTGATACCATCTGTGGTGTGCTGGTATTTTAGATGCTTCAGGACTACATGAAGGCGCGGAAGGCTGCAGGAGCGAAAAGGGAAGGCTTGAAGCGGCCAAGTTGCAAATCTTGAGTGAGCAGCGGGTTTTCCCTGCGATGTTCAAGACAATACAATATATGTACACACATATATATATATGTGCGTGCGCATACTGTGATCAAACCCTCCAGTTCAGCAAGCAAGCAGTTGTCTCCGCGCACTTTGCACCAAGCACACACTCTTCATAAAACAAAAGACCTGTGGATAAGTCCTCATAACCTCATTGCACTAAGACTTCCATAGATTTCTTCTGTCAGGTAAGCACCTTTGTCGCAAGCCCCAAGGGTTTGCAGGCCTCGCGAGAAAGTGTGGCACAAGAAGCATAGTATAGGGGTTAGTTTGGTGACGGGGAAGCCACTGGGGAAGCCAAAACACCGACACTTACATCAATGCTGTGTACCACATGGCATGTCCAGCCACCCGTCAAAAGCCCTTATATATTATAAACATCTTGTGGACAGGACGCACCAAGGGCAAACATGGGATCAGAGGTTCATCAATCCATGATGCCAAATTTCCAGCACCTATCCTTTAACACATGTATGCATCCTTGGGTACCAAGAATTCTTTAGCTGTTAGCCGTTCGCACTTCTCCAAGCCACGCAGGGCTACGAAAGTCAGGGAGAGGGTTTTCTCGTTGCCTCCGCGACTCGGCGATTGTTGTCTTCGAGTCAACCAAATGAACTGCAAAAACTTCGGAACTTCCCTTCTTCGCTGCCTGAGCACGCGGAAGTCGATCTCACGTGGCCTGGGCACGACATGTGGCGACACCCCGAGCTGTTCCGAAGCACGCTGGCATCAATGCACAAATCACAAATCGGAAAAGGATTGGCCAAAAGCAAAAGCAATGGCAAATGCATGAAGCAGGCAGAGAAGTAGTAGGCCTCTTCCCGGAAAAAGTGCCTTGACTCAGCCTCTGGCGGGCAGGCCCCTGGTATTGCATTGAAGTCTGCCTGAGGATTGAGACTCACCATTTATTTTGCTCGCCCATTGCCATGCAAGGCAAGTCGGCAAATTCAAAGTGCCATTTGCTTGTTTCATTCTACCGCTGCCTCTCGAAAGTCTCGATAGTCTCGGAGGTCGCCTCTGCGGCAAAACGAAGCTTGCGTGTCAGCTTGACCGGTCCGCGGGTGTCCCAAATTGCATTAGTCACCTGCATTGGCCAGGACATGCTTCAGAGCTGAAGACTCACCTAGAACATTCTGAAGCCCAAAGCCTCCAAAACCACGATGCTCAAAGCCCAGTCCTGATGCAGTCTGCATTTCCAAGTGGTTCACCATTTTTCACTTGTCAAAATTTAAGTCTGTCTTGGCCTCCTTGGACTTAACTGCCCTTCACTGCTTTTACTAACAAACTCATGCCCACAATTAATCATTAAGATATTATGATTCTAATTACATAGAAAGTACCATCAAAAAATCGAAACTGGGTTTTATATAGATGGTTTTAGTTTCTTCATTGCTCATTTAAACATTTGTTGTTTAATGTTTGTTTGTTTAAAGGTGTATGAAAATTTACAAATGGTTTAACGCCTTTAAACTTGGGCTCAACTACCCATGATCGCATGATGAACGCCTGTATTATGATTCAACATATATATATATATACAGTGTATACAGTATATAAGTTCTGCACCTGGACTCGGGCGGCCCAGGCTGGGTGCCAGCCCTGGAGAAGCACCTGCATGGCATCAAACACCTGTTCTGTGTCTGTGTGGGGTTGATCCGTTTGAAGAAAAACATTGCTCCTTAAATGACATTTTCTCAATGAAAATCCAAGCAGATTCAGCATAAAGGCAGCATCTCCAATATCCAACCTGTCATTCGGCCCGGCTCGCGTGCACGGCGCGGCGCACCATAGTATGGCTGATAGGTCGGCTGGTACATGGCTGACAAGCTGTCTCAGGTTCAGACAAAAGCTGAAAGTTCCCTACAGCATCTTCTAACCAATTGTGTCGAACCAAAAGCTTGCTGGTATGAGCCTATCACACACCTCAATAATTGGTCACGACTGCTATACATTATTTGTGATCACTCAGATGCAGGAACGAATTGCTGTGGGCGTGCATGCATTGTCTTGCCATCATCTTCGGACACAGACTAGATCGTGCTTCGAAGCTTCCCGTCGTCAGCCGTAGAGCCAGGAACCGCGACGGCCACAAGCTATCTACTGCCAGACTGCCTCACACCTGTCCTGCGCACCACCAAGATGATCAAAATGGCGTGCACAACTTCATGTGCCGCGCACAACTCTGCCGCAAAGCCAAAGCCCTGCCCATGCATAGCAGCTCACCTCTTCATCTATCTTGTGAACGAGGGCATACATGAAGGCCTTAGGGAAGGCATCTGCATCTCCTGACTCTGATTTCCACATATTGTCAGCCCGGCAAAGGTTGTTGGCCCACCTGCTCTCTCATGGCAAACGGTGGGCTCTACGGCTCTACCTACTCTATTTGATGCAATCTGTAGAAGTGTAGCTCTATGATGTGCAAAGTGGTGGTGGGGTATGGTACAGGTTCAAAAAGCAAATGACAATCTAGTCAAGGTAGCAAGCCATGTGCTGTTGTTCTTCACATACGACATGGCCAACCCGTGGCTCAAAGGGTCTGAGAATCCCTGCGATCATTACCATCAACCTTGGACGATTCACAGCCTCCAACAGAATCACAGCAGTGCCAAGACTTGCAACTGAGCTTGAGGCAACCAATTGGCAACCGTGTAGCAGAGTGGCACCTGTGGCAGTGGCGAGGCGTGCGAGCAAGTGCGAGGTCTGGCTGAAACACCCGAAAAATCGTGGGGTGGAGCCACTGGGAGCCCAACCAGAGCTGGAGACGCACCCTCCACGCCCAAGCCTTGGCATTCGATTGGCAACTCGGATGAAGGGGAAACAGGAAACGTCTGACCAAAATTAATATCCAGCATGCCAGTGCGGGTAGAAACACTGCCAAACGTCTGAAGGGGCATGGTCTCCTCAAGATTGATTCTTTCCAAGACTTTTCGCCCTTGCACGAAACATCACCCAGGATCTGTTCTATCGCCCCAAATTGGAGTTTCCCAATGAGGCCATCAGCCCTTTCATTCAGGACACCTAGTTGGTGCACGGGTAAAGACATGGTGCGAGACACTCCTTCCGATTTGTTGCCTTTGCAAATGCATGCCCCAATCCAACCCTCTGTTCTCTTTCGGCCCACTTCACCTTGAAGCCCTGTATATATATATATATATATTATGCACATCTGTATCTCTATATGTGTGCGTAATCACACGGTGCCCGTTAACTTTGGGCCTCAGTGTTTGTTGTAACTTTGACCTAGGGTTCTTCCCGCTCTTGTCTTTGGAGCAGAATTCAAGTTTCTGACTCATAAGTATTCTATGTCATTTGAGTTTGCATCTCCCCGGCCAGCAGCAAAGTCTTGCACCGCATCCCTTCACTGGAAAGTCCCTGTCAGAAGCTACATTTTGCGAATAGGAACAAGCGACTGAAGTGGACAAGCGACTGCCAGGCGATAGCCTTGCCATCCATGTCAAAGCCACGGGTCCTTGAGGTCCCTGAGGTCCCTGAGGTTCCTGGACACAGGACGTATCATGGCGTAAATACAAAGGGGCACCGGTTGATAGGGCCAATTACTTGGGACAAAACATCCAGAACAAGTTGGGCAAATGAGGTTTTCTAGCCAAGGGCCTTCTGCCTGAGAAGCTTGCAATGTCCTTGAGCTTGACTTGATTAAATTCCAGCCCTTGTCAGAACATGTCAGAACCAGCGATGTTGTTTCTGTCTCTTCTGCGAGGGCGAGCTGCGAGGGTCTGCGGGTCTACAAGGAGTCTACGCGACTTTTTACGAAGCGAACACACCTGACACTCAGGGACGACCTTGGCAAGCGACTTTAGCAACTGGCCAGCAGCTACTTTAGAGACTCATTCATGAAAGGAGCTGAGAATCTGAGAAGTCAAATCATTGAATCATTGAATGTGAACACCACTACAGTACTGGCACAAACACTGTGGCTCCACATTGTGGCAATTCTCATGTCTGCTTGTGCAACAACCTGCTTGCCGCATAATGATATGGAATGCTTGCACTGCTGTACGTGATGTTGTTGCGCGATCGCATCAGAACTTTCAGTGCAAGGCTTGCACGGCACGCCCTAAGTGTCAAAGCCCAAAAAACGCCTTTGAAACATTCTGGATGGTCACCGGTCGCGGTTCTCCACACCGCATAGTCAGACACAATCAAGCCAGTCTCCGTGTCATCAAGGACTGTCAACAAATCTGAGATCCAATTAGGTAATGGACGTGAGACTGGGACTTGCTTGTGCCATGCCTGTGTGCGGAGCTTGTGCTCTGCTTCAGAAACATTTGGGATCAGCTACCGCTCGGAGCTAATCAGGTGCGGGTGGCAACCTGAAATGGGAGGTTCTGGATGCCCCTGGCAATTGGGGTGAAGATCAAATACGGTAAGTTCAATAAGAACTCCAATGAATTTGCGGCACAGCCATGTGCAGCCCATTGCAGCCCCTTCCCTGGCTCATCCACATCCTCTCCGAAAGGCTTGACACCAAACTGGCCCGGATCAGGGCAATTCAGGCAAGATCAACGAAAACGACAAGACTTCTTCATTGGGTTTTATGGAGTTTCTAAGGTTGTGATGAAGATATTTCTTTTTTTTCCTGATCCTGCGCTGCAATGGTCTACATAAACAATACAACTGCTCCACAGCCTGGGAATATATAATTACAGTTTCCAGCCGTGAAGTTCAGGAAGCAAACTGCAGGGAATAAAATCTCCAAAATCTCCAAACAAAGTTTGCCTTCGAAGCACTTCCGTGACAAAAGGCATTCCCTGCAGATGAGAAAATGGCGCCAACAGCCATCAAAGATTTCCGGCAGGGATAAGAACTCGTCTGCCATTCAAATCACCCTGCGAGCACACCGTTGTTCAAAAATTGAATTCTACCATCACTATACTTATATGGGCATGGCAAACGGAGCAAGGTTCCTAGCACTCAAGAAGCACCAACAAAGGCAAAGATTAGGCCCTATCAGGCTTGTACGTGCAGGCCCTAGGCCGTGCGTTTTGACACTAGTGAGCATGGTGAAGTCTCAGTGAGATCCTGGCCCCAAACAAGCTTAACCTGTTAGAAACGCTGTGCTTGCTGAATGTCAAGACAACCGTCCGCGGCGCGAAGTGAAATAAGCGGCAGCGGCTGATCCGAGGCGGTCTCCGCTCTCCAACCGGAAGACTCGTCGTCGGTGCAATAAGGCAATAGCCGGTGAGTGGCTTTCTGAAGACATCAGTTCAAGCTCCCAGCACCTGACTGCGATGAGTCTCCGACTGCCGCACGAAGAATGCAGAAAGTTGGCTTCAGCTTACGGCCCTTAGGAAGGAAGAATGCAAACTTGGCTTGCTCATCTCTGGGCCCTTCGTGAGCATCCAGAAGAGGAACTCTCGGAAAGACACCTGGAAGTTTGAGAATTGCAACTGCTCGTGCATTCAAAGGCATAGCAAGACTAGTCTACAGCGTCTTAGATGACCATCGAATCTCCGGCTCTGATTCACTTACAGTATATACCAAGTCCGAGAGGCAGAGCCGCTGGAATCAGTGTCCACTTCTTGCCAGTAGCCTGATGTGCACAATCAAGCACATGAAAAAGCCTACCAGGTTCAATCGTTGATGGAGTCCGGATGACTCTAGGATTCATAGGAGCTCCTGCTTCGATGTGAAGGTTTGTGGTTAGTTGATGTGTCTCGAATGAGCCACGGAGCGGTTCAACGTTGGAGTTGGAATATCTCTCGGATCTTTCACCTCCATGATCTGCATGATCACCTCAGCTCGACAAATCACGAAACTGTGGAATATCAAAGTCTCAAATTCAAAAAAAAGTAATAACAAATATGAAACCAAGGAACGTGCGGCCTTACCTTCCTTTTATACATTTTATTTTGGATGCCCGGCCTGTTGTGTCTTTCATGCCTCCACACAAATCTGCAGCCTCTGTGTATTGGCATTCTCCTACCTCTGAGGCAACTACGAACACAAATTCCGGCTGGCTGATTTCCTCGCTGCCATCAGTGTCAAACTCATCAAACATCTGGCGGTAGCCTCAGGCTGGACGGGCTGGTGCCGCATTGACAAAAGAATGTACTGATGACTGAATTGAAAAAAACACCTGGGAAATGCCTTGGTTCTCACTCATGCTGTTACTCACTCAGACGAGTCATCTGCTTTGAACATCTTGAACCGTTCTTTCTCCCACTGTTCTAGGTGCCCTTCAAGTTGACTCTATAGTATCTATAGGTGCCTTCACTTGAGAATGTGCAAAAAGTGCTGTCAACGGGTATACTCAATAATGTTTGTATATGTTTGTCATGTATCTTTGTTCAGCCTACACGACCTCACAAAAGCTTCACAGCAGCCTTCTGAGGAACAAGTCAGTGCAACGAGCTAGCTTTATTGGATGACAAGTAGTTGCAACCGCCCCACTGGGCTCTAGCTAACACAAATGATGCCATCAGCTGCTGAGCTATGTCTTCATCTCACCCACATCTGCTCGGCAAATATCTGCCAGTCTTCCTACTGCTCTTTTTTCAGACTGCTTGCCAAATGGCCACACGGAAAGTCAAGTTGGTGTTGCACCTGAGAGTGCCTTAGTGCCCCACGTTCCACCTCAGAAATGGAGACCTCAGCTTCCCTCGCCAATCTCCTGGCAAGCTGGATCAGTTAATCTGCATGGCATGGTCACCATGGTCCGCGGAGTGCGACCATCGGCCCAACACAAAGCTCTGACCCATCTCCTAGGTTTCTTGCCTGAGACTCAACCAAATGACTGCTCAAAGAGCTGCTCACAAAGCATCGTGAGAATTGGTCCAAACATCACCGTGCTCCGGGTGGCGTGTCTTTCGGAACTTGCTACGCCGAAATCACCGCAGCTTCTTGTGCTTCGCACAAGGCTGCTTATTCTGTTGGAGGATGCAAGTTACTTGGTGGGCAAATCACAGAGGACCCAACGATGCTTTACAGTGGCCCCAATGAGATCTCGAAAAGGCTTCTCAATCTTGGTTGAGCTGGTTGGGTCCCCCGGAAGTGCTTCTAAGAAACCTCAATGCGACGTGTCAATACTTCCTATCTTTGGTCTAGATGGTCGTGGCCGCTCGACTGTTGCCAGTTCGTCCAGGCGCTCTAGCATCCTAAGCAATTGAAGTGCTCGGTCAACCATTCAGACCATTCAGCAGACTCTACAAAAGTTTTGACTTCGATGAGCCGTTGATGAGCATACTCTACCAAATCATGATGCAAACGTATTGGCTGGTTCACTTAAGCCTCCAATGCCAAGTAACGCTTGCATGATTGAGGGCTCTGGACGCAGCTGCTTGAAGACCTCACCAGCCAGACGAGGGCGCAAAGAATGAACAGGTTTGAATCTTTCCTCAGAGGTTGAAACTCCTGTGGAAAACTCGCCTTCAAAACACATAAACAAAATAACATAAAGCTAGTATGGCCACGGCAGCCCAATTCTTTTGGAATGATTTTCCGCCACGTGGCTTGCAAGTCCAGCTTTCCACCATCGCGACCCCCATCCTGAGCTGCTTCCGAAATCAAACCACTGCAATATGCCCAAAATTAACCCAAGGCTCGAACATTTGAACAGTGCATGGAAGAACTTCGTCAATTCCTCGAATGAAGCCGAGTCTCTGCTGCATTGGCGATGAAGCCATAGAGCCAGCGCATCTCTTCACAAACTGGAATTGCCGCACTCTCCTCTCAGAACAGTTCCAAGCGATAGCTTCGTGCAGCAAAGAGGTATACGAACCAAGGTCCAGGAGGTGATGTCCAAATTCAACCGCTGTCAGAAAACCACCAAGATCACCCTCGCATCCCCCAATGCCTTCACTGGGACAAATGCCACAGCTTTTGCAGTATTTTGCAGAAGCTGTGTTGGCCCTACAAGTGATGCAAGTCGAACCACCCAGACCCCTGGCGGGCCCTGCCTCCCCATAGATCTTCTCAAGTCGAACCACTTCAGTGGAGAGGCTGATGGCATCAGCTAGGGACCTGAATCCATTAGGCGGTCAGCTGGGATTGCAAGTCTTACAATGACCAGCAATCCTCTCTTGGTGCTCATGAAGTTGTAAGATGTCGGTTTCGAGGTTTGATGGTTTGGAATTGTGATGAGTAAGTCGTTTGGGCCCTTCATGTACGGGGCACGCGGCCAAAGGCTGGCAAAGGCCTGAGAAAGCTACCGTCTAGTCGTAGCATACAACCACAAGGTCGACTTACGTAAACAAAAAAGACTACATATTACATATTGCTTGAATTAGATCAAGAATAAGAAGTTCTATTGAATTGAATCCTACTTGATCCTCCTCTCATTCCAGCTGGCAGCCCAAGGAGTAAACAAAAGGCGACTTGCGGACTTCAATGACCCAGAAATTCACGGCAGCCCAGGGCACAGCATTCCATCTCCATCCAGGTCGTACAAAGAAAAGGTCAAGTGAATCCGCTCCTGATTAGGCTGGGGGCCATCGCTAGTAGGTTGGTCAAGTGAACTTGCTGTATATTTGACTCTCCGCCATTAAAGCGTGAACAATGTGGTCGAAACATGTCCATCCACCTTTGATGTCATGTGAGGGAACTCTGGAGCTAGCGCGCTTTCTGAGGCATGTTCACCACCTTCAAGCCTTCAAAAATAAGTATTTCTTTCACACCGCAAAACAACAACTGAAAAGTTAGTGAGGAGGCTGGCAGTAGGCAACATATCAACATCAAACTATGTTCCAGCCTATGCTCTGAAAAGCCCCTAGGCCTGGGCAATCTCTAAACATCACAAAGAAGGGGCACCTGCTTCGCATCCCAGGATGGACCACGATGTCGCTGCAAGAACTGCGCCCAATCCTGGGCTCAAAACCATCTTTGCGATCAGCGGATCATCCAAACTGCTACGAAGCTTCAAGGACAAGCTAGAGGTATCCCGCATACCACGCCATGGCCCAGATGACTGCAAGATCGTGGGGGTGCTTTTAAAACTAAATCTGCGTCATCAATATATGTATATTATATATATATATATATTATCTATTTGTTTACCCTCGAAAAGGTCATCTCAAGTGACTCAAGTGTGTGAAGAAGTCGCATCAGTAGCCGCAAAAAGATTGCAAAGGTTCAAAAAGTTTTGGTCCCAGCATGTTCCAACACCCACGGGCACAGCAAGGGGCAAGAGTCGGATCTTGGAAACGTAAAACAATCAATTCGAACCGCACAGAAATGAAGCAAACTCCAGTGTGACAGCCTGTGACAGCTCTTACCGTAAGAGGCAGCAAATTGTTAGAGCAATTCAGCGCACAACATAAACAGCGGAGCCCCCGTTTTGATCGGCCCTGGTTTTGTTTTGGAATCCTTCTAGTGGCTTCAGGTTATGTAATCATATGCCACGGCTATTTAGATCGGTTTGGGGAGTGACAGACGCTCTGATAAGCTACTAGGACCTACTAGCAACCATTTCTCAGAATCCCCACCACAGATCAATCTGATTCGCGGGTGTGGCAACAATGCAACATAACCAGTACATCTACTTTGCAAGGTGCATGTGGAAAGGGCATCCGGTCTGTTTCTGACATCGACACTGATAACATCTCATAATGGTCTGATAGACCTTCATCCGCAAGGCGGAACTGTACGAAGCAATGCGATTCAAGTCAAACACCGGACCACCAGCTGGGGTCAGATGCTTAACTTGGAGGGTTAGCGGCTTAACAATCTTGAGAACTGAGGACAGCTGCCAAGTGTCTAAAACACCCACTGGCTGATGCCTTGGTGATACACACTCGAAGAGTCGTCCTGGCGCTCGAAGTGTCTGGCTGTCAGTCCAGTTGCCTATTTCATTACACTCCCTGAATCATCCTGGAAGTGGAAAACCACCTGCTTGGGGCCAAAGAAGCTACTGGTAGCAAGGGCCGCTATTAGGTGGAGGCCATCGCAAGTAGGTTGGAGGCCATCGCTACTGCTAACAAGAAGCTACTAGTAACAAAGGGCATCGCTACTAGGAGCAAGGACGCTACTAGGGGCGCTCCT